TACCACGGAGATTGTCGTGCAGAATTTGCAGCCGTCAAAATCTGCGAGGGAAGTGGTGTGGCACGGAGCATGAACTAGATCCATGGACGTCGGAAGCCACAGTTACACACGACCGCGACACAGCATGCAGCCGGCGCCAAATCGATAGCATCAATCCAATCCATCCATATCCGACAAGGGACCTCCCCCCGCAGCGCAACCACACGGCAGCTCACCTCACGCCTGCCTGCGTTGCTCCTTCCTCGCACCGTGAAGGCTGGCCGAGGGGGTTAAGAAGGCTGGGAGAGCCGAGCCTGACTACCAGAAGATGCCGCTGCTATCAGCCGACAATGGCGACACGAGCAGGAGTGCCAGCCGGCAGCGTGCGCGCACCGAAGTGGCCGAGCACAGGAGCATGTGGGACCGCCTCAACTTCCAGAAGATCGGCTCCTGGCTGAAGAAGGACGAGCACACTCCGCCGCCCTCGCCCACCAAGTTTGCCAAGCAGGCGGCTGGTGCCAATAAAGAGAACAAGGAGGAGAAGAAGGAGATGAAGAGGCCGCACTCGAGTGGTGGGCTGCTGGGGAGGAGAGGCAGCAAGAAGGTCATCCCAGGGCTGCCTAGACCCCTGACCTTTAAGCGCATGCAGAGCGAGAAGAGAGACAATCTGCTCGAGGTACCCGAGACCGAACCACGGAGAGCTGTCTCGGAAGACCGCAAGAGCTCCGTCCCCTCGAAACGGAACCCCTCGCCGCCTCCAATGTCCATGCCGTCCATGTCTGCCCCTGACGTCCTGAGTCCGAACGAGAGCAACAGTGAGAAGGAGAAGGAGTCATTGCGGGAGATGGATTCATTGCGAGGAGTCAAATCATTCCAAGTCGAGTCATTGCGAGAGGCCGACTCACTGCGAGCGGCATCGTTGAGAGCGGCTGAGTCATTTGCAGATATAAAACGCGGGGAACGCATAATTGGCGGAGGACCCGACTCCAACATACCCGCAGGCGCACGGCAGGTGGATTACGGCATAGAAGAAGCTGAAGACTACATGTCTGCCGGCGAAATGTCCACCGTCGAGGGGCCGCCTCCAGTAGAGAGGCCGCCGCCCCCGCCCCTGCCGCCAATGGAGGTAGCCGATGCTTTCTCGGAACACGGCTCGCATCGCTCAAACTCGGACATTGACGATATACAGTTACAGGAGGAGCTCGAGGCCAAGTGGATCCTGAACCTCAGCATGCACTTCCGAGACATGTCGGATCGTGAAAAGTTCTTCGTCACATTCGCCGAGCAGCCAAACAAATGGAGGAGAGTGACAGTATCGTGCGACTACCGACACCTAGAGCCCGACTCACTCGAGTCTGATCTCAAGACGCTGCACTACCAGCGCGATAAGAGCTCCCGAATCTACGAAGCGATCCGTGACTCCTTGGCGAGCATTCAATTTTACGATACTGTCACGAATCTCAAGCTCGAAACAACGGATGGTCAACTCCATGTGCACGTTACTGAGGATATTAATGAGATCATTCCGTACCCATCCACGTCAGCAATCGAGCACCTAGACTGCAAGCGCTTCCGGGAGAACGCAGTCACCTTCGACTCTCACATCTCAGGCTTCGTGTACAAAGTCTCGGTCAATAACAGGACATACATCAAGAAGGAGATTCCCGGCCCAGATGCAGTCGAAGAGTTTCTGTACGAGATCAATGCTTTGATCAGCGTGCAAGAATCCAAATGCGTCATCAGATTCGAAGGTGTGATAGTTGACGAGCAGAACGAGCTTATTAAAGGCCTGCTAATCAGCTATGCTGAGCAAGGCGCGTTGGTGGATATGATCTATGACTTCAAGCCAACAGGCCAACTTTACTGGGAGCGACGTGAACGATGGGCACGACAGATCATCGAAGGTTTATCCGAGATCCACGAAGCCGGCTTTGTACAAGGCGACTTTACACTCTCCAACATCGTCATAGACAACGACGACAATGCGAAAATCATTGATATCAACCGTCGCGGCTGCCCTGTCGGCTGGGAACCACCTGAGCTAGCCAAGCTTATCGAAAGCGGACAACGAATATCGATATATATTGGTGTCAAGTCGGATCTCTACCAACTCGGTATGGTGCTGTGGGCGCTAGCAGAACAGCAAGACGAGCCGGAGCGCCAGCAAAAGCCACTGACCCGCACACTCGATCGGCCAAACACCGATGTTCCAGTGTATTTTCGCGACATCATCAGAGCCTGCCTTAGTGACTCGCCCCGAGCGAGACCATCAGCAGCAAACCTTCTCAAACGGTTCCCAGAGGATGTACTAGATAGAGATTTTAAGCCCAAGGCTGCTGTCAGAAACAGCGCCTCTACGCACAGGAGCGACAAGGAGTATATCGACCCCAGGACGGCAGTTGATCTCGAGGACATATCGAAACACCGCCGCCACTCACGGCAGCAGTCGTCGTTCGAGGAGATTCATGTGCCCCTTACAGAGTATCCCGCATCTTCTGGCTCATATATCATTCCCAACAACGGCTCAGATCGTGGACGCTCCCCTGGCCCTTTGAGCATTGGCAACAGGACTGGACGGAGTGAATACTCGCCTTACCCTGCTCACCGTTCCGTCATGTCGCTTGACGACTCAGAACTTGAGAATGAGCTTGCAAGTCTACCAGCCAGTCGAGAGACGAGATGGGAGCAAATTTACATCGATGGTGATACCAAACTTGTCCAAAGGGGATGCGCCGACCTTGACGTCCACGACTTTACCACACAGGAGCCGAAAGATATACACCTCACCGGTCCACCGAGTGAGATGGAGAATTCATTTCTAGGTAGCAGATCAGCCGAAGACACTCCTCTAAGGGTCTCCTTTGTCAGTGGGCTCCAGCCAACTGAGCCACATTCCATGGAAAGCAGTCTACAAGAATCGTCTGACCGTGGCCGTGACCGAGAGATTGGAAACAAGACTTCCTTTAGCAGTCGAGTGCATGAGCTATCACAAGGACCACCAGATCACACCCCCTCGGAGCTAGATGCTACGCCAGACTACTACGAGGGCCGGCAGTTTCATATACCTGATTCTGCCGTGCTCGCCAACCTGGAGTACGACGTTGCCATGGACTCTTCCGCTTCCAACACTGCACCCCCATCACGGGTCAGCACTGGTTTCTCCGTCTTCGACCGTCCGGAAGCCTCGCGGAGAACTGGAACGGGTTTCTCAGTCGCACAAGGATACCGTATGCCACTGCATCAAGATTCTGGCTTTGGCGAGCCTGAGCGGAGATCGTTCGAAAGCGAGCGCATGCGCCAAAGCATTGAAAGCATCAAAGACCTAAACTTCTCCAGTGGAGACGAGGCAAGAATCGACGAGCGGCTATGGGATGAGAAAAGTGGCCCAGTATTTGGCGATGGTGTCCGTGGAGCTGAGCTAGAGATTAAGCCAGAGCCCATACCGATATTTACCATCCCAGCATCGCCGCAGAAGAAAGAGAAGCAGAAAGAGGCGCGCACATCGATGCCGCCTCCACCAATACCCAGTGTTGGACCGTCAAATGTACTGAAGGTTGAAGATGTTCAAGACAAAGCTTTGGAAGAAAAGAACTCGAACACCACCATCCGACCAGCCAGTAGTCGTACTCCAGTCTCTTCAAACACAGGTCCAAAACCCGTGGATTCCATGGATGTTGTTTCAGCCGAAGCCAAACACATTTCGAAGAAAGCATCTAAGAAAGCAAGCACTGTCGGCTCATCATCTAAGGATAAGCTGCCACGAAAGGCTTCACAACACGACCCCTTCCTCGATGACTACATGTCACCAGCAGAAGAGTCCGACGGTGACGAAGATGACAAACATCGCGCATCGAACGATCTCTCTGCCTACCTCTCTCAGTCCATTTCCTTTTAAGCACTCCATCGATTTTTCCATGCGCGAACATGAGAAGCAGAAGAAGACTTAGGTCTCGGTTCGCAAGGACCAAAAGTTTGACATTGAGAGCGTTCATTCGTTACTCCTTTCCATTCATCAAGTCACACCATTTAACTACTTTGCCATTCATTTTACCTGTCTTCATACCAAGTTTAGTACTATTTTAATGTTCCTGTATGTGTCTGTTCATTCATTCTCAACTCCTTCTTTTAGGCTTTCTTTTAGCGTTTTGTGGGTGTTCATATCTGAGCAAGCGTTCATGTTTTGGATTGGTTGGCGTTAATTTGTGTGGTTGTGTCGTGATTCATTTCATGATGGACGATCTGGGGTTTGTTTGAAAATTTGCAGTAAAGACAGGTTGTGAACATCTCCCATTTTAGGCGTTTTTGTGCAAGTTGGATTGTTTAAGAGCGGGGATACCAGGTCGACTTTAGCATTTGGTAGCATGGTATGGATGGGCATTTCGGAGAATCATATTGCATTTACCTCTTTAACTTATTCACTCTCCATATGCAAGCATGAGTCGAGTCTAGTACTAACGTCTGTGGCGATAAAGCACATCCAGACTCAAGCCTAAGCTCGAAAGTTATAAGAAGTCACAACAATGATAAGTGAATGAGTAGTACAGCCACTACATCAAAGAGAAAAACTGAACATCTCTTCAGACCATACCTAGGTAGTACTCCGTCCTACTACAATAAAGCGTATCAAGAGGCATGTAGGCGTGGATAGAAGATCTAGAAGTCTACAATGCTGTTTATCTTTATGAGTTCTTCTGTTAGGAGCTGCAAGGTAGAGCTTATCATTTCCATACTATTCATTCCTTCCCTTGTATGTAGTGCGGCCATTGATCTAATCAGAATGCACTGATGCAGGCTGTATAGGCACCAGCTGTAGGGGAAGTTACTCTTGTGCACAGATCATATCACGATCGCGTCAGCAAGTCTCTCTCCCATTTAATGGATCTTACGATTCCATCGTTGCACACATTCAGACGAATCGTGTATACGGTACTATAAGCAATCGACGTGACCATCTCTGAACTGGTTCCTGAGACGTACGATTCCACTTTCCCTGACTCCATAGACGGACCCATAACTACAACATGGCGAACGTATCACAAGGATTATTCAAGCTCCCAAACGAGCTTCTTCTCGAACTTGCTGCATCGCTCGGCCCTGCCTACCTCCGGCGCCTCAGTCAAGTCAACCACCGCCTTCTCGACTTCGCCCTCGACTATTCTCGAACACATGTCAGCAGACTCACCGCTCTACCGGACGATATCGTACTGAGAATCGTTGCGTATCTGGGGAACTTTGCGCATCTGGGAAACTTTGCGTATGCAGGATATCTGGGAGATCCGGGAAATGGGGGAAATATATATCTAAGCCCACTCGCACAAGCAAGCCATCGGTTCTATCCTCTTGTTATGGACGCCATCCTGCGCGAGGAGGTACGCACGCGGAGTGTCAGCCTGATGAAATTTGCTCTTGACAAGAGAAGGATAGGGATGGTAAAAAGACTATTGCAGAGGGGCGCGGATGTGGAAGCACGTATTTATCACGAACCGAGGCTCAGATTCTACAGTCCTCAGTGTTCTATGCACTGCGTGTGCTTTAGCGAGGTGTGCTTGACATTTTCGCCTTTATCAATCGCTACATCGCACGGTGACGTAGAGATGGCCAAGTTGCTCCTGCATTTTGGTGCAGACGTCCACGCAATCTCTGCACGCAATATTGTGTGTTGTTACGAGAAAAAGTTACGCACACTTGTATCTACGCCACTTCTACATGCAGCATATCACGGTCACGAAGGCCTGGTACAACTGCTCCTGCAAGCTGGCGCGAGCCCGGTCGTTCAGGACAGCCTTCAAATACTTTCTGTAACCATAACCGAGCGACACGAGCATATCGTATTACGGCTTTTGCAAGCTCTGGATTCCGTCAATGACCCCAGTGATTCCGTCACAAAGGAGCTCTTTCGGGTGGCTTCTGAAGGAGATTTCCGATCACTTCCGTCAGAACTGGTTAGGAAATACGAGCATGTCATCCTACGGCGGTTACCGTCTGTGACATCAATCGAGTGGCACCAGGAAGGCTATATTGCAGCTATCATGGAACTAGCTGTAGCCGCAAAGCTCGTCAAGGTTGTCGATTATCTCGCTCAATTGAAAACACAGCTCCAAATGGAACAGACGGGCTACCTTGATTCGGCGCTATACAACATTATCTCATATGATACCTGCAGAGGCGAGATTCGTAAGAGGGAGCTGCATCAAGAGGTCTACCAAATCGTGGAGACGCTGCTAGCGCAAGGTGCAAACCCCGATGCATCTGGGCAAGGGGAGTCTGCTCGAGACATGGCGTCAACTCATCCAGACCCTAGAGTAAGGAACCGGTTGCTACGAGCGGCACAAAAGCAGCCTCCTAAAGACCTGGCCTCTCAAGTAGGACGTTCATGGGTCGATCCGTCGCAAGCTTCACCGCCACATGTCCCAAGACGATCAAAACGATCGCGCCTGCCCCCTCCAGTAAATCTATGGGATTTCGTAAAGCCTCACAACTGGCAAAGGCAATCTGATGATCAGGAGAGCGATGTGTCAGCTGTTTCAAAGAGTAATGAAGATGATACTAGTGGTGGTCAAGTGACGAGTGTCTCGACCTCAATTTCAATAAGCGCAGTCAACGCCTCAGGAGACCACACAAAGCTACAGTCACCACCTACTAGTTTCAATATGCCCTCAATTCTTTCACCGAAAAGTGTATGGGCCGAGATTCGTTCCACGACAACACCTGCTTCAGCACAGGCAAGGGCAAGCCAAGACCACGCATTTCCAGCCTTGTCAAGGCCGCATAAGACGAGCATGGCCAACATCAAAAGCAGCAGCATGGCTACTGCTGCGTTCAGAGGCAAGACTGAGGCTAGCAAGACTGTATTTAAGGCAAGTGACACCAAGCAGACGTATGCGACTGGTGTAGGTAAGACACCAAGCACCCAGCAGAAAAGCGGAAAGTCATTGAAGGGGAAGAAGAAGTGGGAGAAGCTAGTCATTTCTTAGCCTCTACTCTGGAGTCATGAGGAGCTTTCTTATCAGCTGTCTTTCCAATAGTTATTGCTGGAGATAATTACCACTACTTTATTAGTAGGTATCCAAGCTACAGAGCAATATCTCATTTAGGTAGTAGTGACTTTTCTCATTGTAATTACTCATATCTACTCAAAACACTACATACTCAAACATCTTCTAAATCTTATGCATGTCCAGATGCGCGACTCTAACTAAATCTCAAGATCTTGAACATTCAGCTTATCGTATGGATTAGAAGGCGACGACCCTCATACCACGCTTCATAGGCATGTTAGCCATCTCAGCGCGCCGGCGAGCGGAAGAGGTGAGGAACCCAGCTGGGTACTCGACGACAGCGTCGCCAGAAGCAGGGGCTGGTACCGCGGGTGCTGCAGACTGGCCATTCTGCTCTTCAGCGGGGACTGGCTCCGCTTTAGCAGCGTCGTCCTGCTGGTCTGCTTCGCCCTCGTCGTCGCTTTCCTCAGCTTCATCTTGCTGGTCACCCTCCTTGTCGTCTTGTTCAGCTCCGTCTTGCTGTCCAGCTTGCTCTTGCTCTGCCTTGTCCTTCTCCTGCTGCTTCTTCTCGTCCTCGGTAGCTTTCTTGTCAGCCTCTTCCTGCTTCTTCTTCTCTTCCTCAGCGGCTTTAGCGTCAGCCTCTTCCTTCTTCTTAGCGTCTTCCTCGGCTTTCTTCTGTTCCTCAGCAGCCTTCTTTTCTTCCTCCTTGGCCTTCTTCTCCTCTTCCTTGGCAGCTTTGTCAGCCTCTTCCTTGGCCTTCTTGTCCGCTTCCTCTTGCGCCTTCTTCTCCTTCTCGGCTGCTTTCTTGTCAGCTTCTTCTTGTTGCTTGGCCTGCTCCTCAGCGGCCTTCTTCTCTTCCTCAGCCTTCTTCTTTTCTTCCTCAGCTTTCTTCTTCTCTTCTTCGGCCTTCTTCTTTTCCTCCTCAGCCGCGTTGGGCGTCTCGGTGGCCGCAGGCGCAGTAGCATTTGCAGTGGACGAAGCGACCAGCATGGTCGAGTTCGCGGCCTCGCCCATTACTAAGGAAAAGCTCTCAGTGACCATAGGCGCTGGTGGTGCTGGGTGGGTCACGGACATGTTACCAGCCGCAGGAGCTTCAGGAACAACAGTGACAGCAGCGGGAGGGGGCATAGTGTGTTCTGGCGCCGCCTGAGTCTCCTTAGCCGGCATCTCAGCTGGTGGTGGCATCTCGGCAGGAGGAGGTGGAGGAGGCATGGTGTGTTCTGGTGCTGCTTGAGTTGTGTGTGCGGGCATCTCAGCTGGAGGAGGCATCTCCGCAGCAGGCGGTGGAGGAGGCATCTCAGCGGCAGGCGGAGGCGGTGGCATGGAATGTTGGGTGACCATGGGGGCCGCAGTCTGTTCGACCATAGTTGTAGTCTCTGACGCAACAGTTTCGTGAGTGATGGCCTCGGCTGTAGTTGTCGCTGCAACTTCTTCGGTAGTAGTGGCTGCTGCTGAGATACTGGCTAACTCCTTGGAAACGTGCATGGCTTCCATGGCGTCTGCAGAGGACTTATGGGCTGCATCCTTGGCCTTCTCCGACGCAACATGCATAGACTCCATGGCATCTGCGGAGGCCTTGTGAGCGGAAGCTTTTGCCTGCTCAGAGGCAACGTGCATGGCTTCCATAGCAGCGGCAGACTCTTGATGAGCCTTTTCTTCTGCTTCTGCCTTAGCTTGGTGCTCGGCTTCCATCTTTGCCGCCGCTTCCTGATGTGCTTTCTCCTCTGCTTCGGCCTTTGCCTGATGCTCGGCCTCCATCTTTGCAGCGGCCTCCTGGTGGGCTTTGTCTTTGGCCTCTGCTTCAGCTACATGCATTGACTCCATAGCATCAGCGGCAGCCTTAGCAGGATCAACTGCTGGGGCGGGCGCAGCCTCGCCCAGATGTTCGGTACGCGCTACAACCCGGGACGGAACGTCAATGTTGATACGAGCAGCCAGCTTTGCGTTCCTAGGAAGAGGACCGGCAGCGACGGCAGCTGCCGAAAGGAGCGTAAGAAGCGGGTATATGGTCTTCATTATGGGTGTTTGGGTTGATCTAGAAGGACAGTGATGGAACTTGAGTCTTCGTTATTACAATGGAAAAAAGAGAGAATGAAGAGCTCAGCTCAATAAAATTAAACACTAGTGCACGGCACTTTGGAGAAAAGAAGGTGGTTGTTTGAAGACGACTTGATGAAGAGTGGGCAGAATTTGTGAGATTTGGGACTTCGTGATATATGTACCCTGATCGGCTCTTACGGCATGGAGAAGATTCAGACCGTACCCCTAGAAGCAAACAGATCATCTGGAGCAGTTCCATACTTGGTGGTGTTTGATGGGTTCCCGGCATCGTTTTCGCCTTGTCGAGGATGCCTTCAGGCGGCTAGGCGGCTAGGCAGGGTGACGACGACACTGTTCCCCCACATCTCTCGAACACTTACAGCTGTCTCTCCGCCGTCTAGATAGCATTGACAGTGCTTGGCGTAGACGTTACCGGGGCCAGATCCATGTGCGCGATGAGGCGCAGCACGGAAAAGACCAATCAGATTCATGAAAGACGAGAAAGAAGCATCGAAGCGTGGATCCGCTCGTCAAAGTCTTGGCCTGACAGGAACCGTCGGAGAGTATGTAGCAGGTCAGGCTGCAGGAGTATTGCAGTATTGAAGCTCGCTTCCTCGGCGGGGATACATATATGCATGCTAGGGGTGTGAGGCGGGCAATGTTTCAGCGGCCCAATACAGAGTAGTGCCCGGATATCATGGCAGCCATGAGCCTCAGGCCCAAGCCACAACGACCATCGGAGGCCGAGATGATGTCAAAATGATCAGGGAGTTGTTTGGACGTTCGCGCAACTGAGTGGGCGTTTGCAGAATCTGCAGTCGGAGGTCTCTTGGTTTCATGACACACTAGGCTCCGGGTACGACATGATCCGAGGTCGAGATGAAAGTTGTGACTTGATAAACATTCCGTTTTCTTGTAAGTGACAGGATCGTACGATACACTGAAATGCCCAAGAAAACTAGGGGTATGATGTACCAAACTATCCAACCGAAGAGGCAATGATGCAAGCCCGAAAACGTCCATCAATGACTCCTGACGACGCGTAGACAAGAAACTGGAGACTTTTGACACAACAGCGCTGGTGGCGCGAATATCACGCGTGCTTATTTTCCATTCGTCGCAAGCGGACGGCGAGCGTCAGCTTCATTCGTTCAAGACGGAAAGTGAATTGCTGATGAGCTCTATCTCTACTGTATCCTCCCCAAGAGATATTTCTGAACGCACCCTGAAGGAACGACTGAAAGCAGAAGATGACCGGAGATGAAAATATTGTGACCTATTTTTCAACTCTCATACAAACCATGCTCAGCCGGAGCCTTCGGGACTTTCAGTAGTTCTAGTATTCGCTTACCGACTTGGAAATGGAAGAGTAGTAACCGAACGTCACTACAATTCAGTCTTCGCAACATATTTTGCGATCGGGTAACCGCCTCATGTCAGGGGGATGTCCTTGCGAAATGCGGTGAACACATACGTCGAGACAGTGTGTTGTGTTTCTCGTATATGTGCTAGGGTCCCGTAAAAAACGCCAGGGCTGAAATGTGGCTGCCCGGGCCTCGGTAGGGAGATTGACCGGCAAATTTAGACAATGCTTATTGTTGGCGCTTTACCGCCTTTGCGCGCCAAGCAAATCCGCTTCAGTTCAGGCCCCTTGTACTAAGATCAAGCAATAGCTTGAAAACTGCCCATCGTTGTCGAGATGTTCGCTGAAGTTTCCTCGCGCTCAGGGGCTTCGGCGCGGCTACTCAGTGGGTCGGAGGAAGGGTAATGATCCGAATCCGAGATGCAATGTAGCGACAGCATCCTCACAACACCAAGGAGTTCTGTCCGCCCCAATCCGCTGAGCTGCCAAGGCAGAAGAGTGGCAGTGTTGAGGCACCGAGTACAGTAGTAAGCACAGTATGAGGATGGGCATGTTGAAATAGCATGTCATAAGATCTGGGGGGCAGCCAACCGGGTTAGGCCATGGGTTAGGCGAGCACTTGCTTTGACGCTTCCTGCTTCCTTTCTTTGCTGTACGGTGTACGGCTCAACTGCGCCCCGACGAAATGAGCAATTGACGTCACAATGCCTTGCGCTTACCCCAAGCCTGTATGATTATACCGGTGGCATGCCAGTGGCGCCAGCAAACCTCAGCGGTGGTCGCGTGCACAGCCAGCGATGAGCACGCGACACTGCAACGGATGGTAGCGACGATGGCGGAGGCATGTGCATCAGATGGAGATGGGCCAAAGAGAAAGACGATGGGTGGAAGCCTGTGCCTCAGCGGCTTGCGCGCCGCTGCGCAGGTCCAAGCCGCTAGAGGTGAAAAAGTGGGACTTTGGTACGCATACGCACGCTTGGATCAGGACGTCTGACCTCCTTTGCCGGAATCCGGGCTTCAACCAGACTTCTAGGCAAGCACCATCATAGGTCCGCTAAGCATCGAGTGAAGCAAGCGGTCACTCCTCCACTCTCCATTTTTGGTCTTGAACCCTTTCCCCTCTTTTGTTTCCTGTCACTCCTTTACCTGTGTTGTCGACATACCTCGAGCCCGACCACCAGGCTCCGCGCGTACCCGGGAGAAAATAGAGCCGACAAGTGCACCTCCCGTTGGACCATTTTGAGCAGCATACTCTATTCCACGAGTATCAACAAGCAGCATCCCGCAGACCCCTTAGGCGACACAGCTCCGAACTTGCACGCACGCACGCGACACAACATGGCAAACTCTACCCTACCAGACGACGGCCAATGGAACAGCAAACCAGCCTGGAAGCTGCCAGGATGGTGCGAACCAGTTGTACGTACCTGAACCACATCAGAGTTCCCATAGTATAGCATACTGACAGGGGCATGCGAGCAGATGGTCGCCAGTATCCTTTTCTTCGCCATGTTCATAACACGGAAACGAGACTTCAAGATCTTCGGTCGATCATCACAGCGGACCGGTTATCTTGACAACACACCGAACGAATCCACAGACCGCCTTCTGCAATCAGACAGCGACAGCGACTTCGACGAGATCAGCGCGACCAAGAACCCCAACGCACCCAAAGTCCGCAATATCCTCTGGTGGAAGGTCACAACACCCAGCACATCGCGCTTTCGAAACAACATACACAGTCGCATACTGCAGCGTTTCCCGTTCTTGATTGAGATGTTCTACTGGGTCATCAACTACGCATTCTACCGCATGACTGCCATTGCATCGGCCAAGCTCTTCGCCGGGCGAGGAATTTGGGACGTAGCACAGGAACATGGAATCGCAGTACTAGAAGCGGAAGAATATGGTTTCCTGAGATTCTTATTCCCTGTCCGCGAAAGAGATGTCCAACAGTGGTTCATGCATGGACACCAAGACGCTCTTACAGTGCTGAACAAGTGCTATGCGCTGATTCACATTCCTGGAACGGTTGGGTAAGTTTGCTGTTGAAGAACGTATTAGGTCTTTGCTAATTTCTCCAAGATTCATTTGCTGGTACTACTACGTCGCACCGTCCTTTGACACTTTTGCCATCGCCCGCCGAACCCTTACCTTGACCAACTTCTGCGCTTTCATGACATTTGTTGTATACCCATGCATGCCACCACGACTTCTACCGACCGAATATGGCTTCCTTGACACTGTCCGCCACGACGACGCACAAAGTGTATGGATGAGCGGCAAGTTCGTCAACCAGCTCGCAGCCATGCCATCGATGCACTTTGGCTACTCTTTCTGCATTGGCATGACCATGATCTACCACTCCGGTCTTTTCCGCCGCACCCTGGAACAGGGCGAAGTACGCAAGAACGCATTCTGGAAGATCTTCTACCTACTTCTAGGAATCGGATACCCTTCGTTCATCTTGACAGTTATCGTTGCTACGGCCAACCATTACTTCATGGACGCATTGGTGGCTACCTGCTTCGTCTTCCTTTCCTTCCTTTGCAACAAGTTCTTTTACGTCTTCATCCCGCTTGAGGATCTCCTACTTTACGTTATCCGAGCGGACAAACCCGTCCCCACAACTGGCGATCGCTTCCACGAGAAGGGTGGCCGTCTGTAGTCTGACGATCCGACTACTTCCCTTTAGCCCTTGGCTCCGGTTGAGAACCTTGTTCACTTTAATCTCGTCGCATTTATGGAGCATAGCATTATCGGCGGCGTTGGTTAGAGCACCTGAAAATTACCCATGTCGCAATTGGATATCACGCAAGTAGCGATGTTATATGTATATATTCTAGATTTGAATTCAACCTATCTCTGATGTACTCGCAGTCGTTGCTATGGTGTTCGTGCAGACATGTTTGTGTGATGCTGGCTGACGCTCGCTAAGACCTGTTCCTGCGTTAGCGTGGAGAGAGCTCCCCAGCTCCAGCTCTCGAAGACGCGTACAAGCTCTTGAGAAGGCTCCCGGTCGTGTCCAACCACCACTCAACGCTCTCTAAGTAGTTCCACGCGCTTTGACACGCGATTTTTGTATAGCGCTACCATCTCTCTAGCTATCCGCTTTTCGCGATTCATACTATTTTCTGGTTACTGATATTGATATTCCGCATAGCTGTCTTCGAGCTTGTTTCGAATAGCTTCATTCGCTTCCACACACTTTCCTCCGCTATCGCATATACCCAATCATAATAGTTATGGCGGATCTTGAGCAACAGACGCCGATTGAGGGCACACCCGCCAATGACGTTGAGATGGAGGGTGCGGGCGACGCTGAAGCTGGCGCGGGAGAGACAACACTCTTGCCTGAGATTGAACCAGAGACGCCCAAGCTGGTTGTCTTCGCTGAGTGAGTCACGCTCGTATACATAGATTAGGCCAGGGGATGTTTTGGTGAGCTGGCAAGAGCGGGGGTGCACTGGTTGCGCGCATGAGGCTTGACAGCTAGAACACAGCCGGAGACAGTGCGCGCAATCATTGCCTCAGCTTTGCGGAATTGTGAATTGTCCCTTGCCCTCATGAAGGTCAAAGACATACAGAATGAGTGCGCAGCTGACATGCGACCAGTCTCATGAAGAGTCCGATCGTCGAAGTCATCGTGGGATCCGGAGACGACCGAACTACATACTCAGCGCACGAGGCAGTTCTCGTGAAGTCGCCAGAGTTCGTCAAACAAGTTGAGAAGTTTGCGCCAGGAGGGGTACGCTACCAGGTCCTCGCTCAGCCAGAGGTCGCTTACTGACAGTCTCTAGCCTCGCCAGATCGTCTACAAAGATTGCGACGTTGATGCTATGGGCTCAGTGGTTGAATACCTCTACACCGGCGAATACTTCCCCAAGAAAACATCCAGCGCACGCGACGCACCTCTCGAGAAGGACCCGCGGCAGCCGTCTACTGATAACGAAGGCTTGGGTCTTCTTGTTCACGCACGCATCTACACCCTCGCGGATCGTCTCCAACTCCCAGAGCTGAAGTCCCTCGCACACTCGAAGATCCACCGCACGGCCTCAACTGCAAAGGGGGAGCTCACATACGCACGCTACGTGTACAAGGAATCCAACCCCGAAGACGCGACTATCCGCAAGCCGGTGGCTGCTTTCTGGGCTACACGCAGCTACAGCCTACGCCACGACGCCGAGCCAGAATTCAAGGCCATGTGTCTCGAGTTCCCACAATTCTCGTACGATGTGCTCCAGCTTGTCTTGGACCAACAAGAGAAGAAGCGTGGCGGTGATGATGGGCCGAGTCGAGGTGGGCCGAGCGTGGTTCCTGGAAGCACGAGGAAGAGGGCTAGAGTGAGTCAAGTATAGATGCAAGATTTGGTTTTGCATCGTGCTTGATTCTTCTTACCTCCCTTGGAATGCTTTCTTGCTTCCCGTGTTAAAGCCCTCTCTGGCTTCTATCACAGCATAATCCAAATGAACATTTGTATGACGCGCCTGGCTCTGGCGAAATGTTCTTTTGGGGCCTGTAGGACGTGTTTTTCACTCACACTGGTTTCCTTTGTCCTATCAGATCTCGATTTTGTGAATCACATCTACCGTCGAGCACCTAGCAGCGGTCATGATATTCTGATATGTCGAAAAGCTTTGCTCAGCATTCGGGCTGAGGGTAGTGCTGGCTTAGGCCGTATGTTCTTCGGGTTTAACACCATGGACATTGGCCGCCAAAGGTGTTTTGATAGCAGGAAAGCATGGCGTATGTAAGTAGGCAACAAGCTTATCGGTTTCACATGTTCAATCAGTAGATTGTGTTGATAGCGCCGTGTTATAAGTAGAGTATTGTTGAGGCCAGTGTCCTTATCATGGAGGTCATTCCGCCAGAGCGTAGTGGTACGTACCCCAAACTTAGTCGTATATGCGTAACATCGAGATCTGAGTAAGCGCTCAAAGCACGGCGGCTTGTACGTGCATATATATTATCACATTCCCATACATGAATTCGAAACACATCAAACGATCCGCCGGAGTACTTGACTATATCAGGTGCTCAGAGTTACAACTACTTGCGTTGACCCTTGTTTAGAAAAAAGCCACTGGATGCATTATGACGTGACAGAAAGCTTGCTGCAGGGACGAGGGTCACGTAGCGTGAACGTAGTGCTGAGCTATAGAACTACACATTTGTTGGGACGACGGTGCTACATGCACAGTGGCCATTGCCGGATGGTAGAGTCATTGTTGCTTGGATAGGTAGCTGCCAAGTACGGGCGAAAGAGGGGTCAGTGCCGCTGCGGGATGTGGAGGACACGGTGCGTGAGCGTTGTGGGCAGGAAAGGTCGCAAAGAAGAAAATGCCTCGATCATGAAGAGCGTACTGATCCCTGGTAAATGAGCAACTTACTGGGTAGAAGAAGCTAGCGACGCCGTCGTTCAAGTGTGTCGACTGTCAAGCGGACCAAAGGGCTAAGGTAGCATTCACGCTAGAGTACAAATGCTGGGCATAGGTGTCTGTTTCGGGACCCTCGAAAGCTCCCATAGCCCGGGTAATTTAAGCCATGGCGTCGATGTCATCAACTATTGGCGATGGCTACGGACAATAGTCCAATTTCTCTGACATCTGTCATCCATCGTTTGGTGACATTGCGGTCCGGCTATCGACGAGTGGAACACGCCACCCAAGGGTGAGAGGGCCGGTCAAGACTGCGCGAACACGTGGAGGTGCATCGCAGTGCGCATGTTCGTGATTTAAGGGTGGGTCGATTGGCTGCAAGTTGTGCGATCGTAGAGTTTGTGATACAGCGACCCGGTCCCGCGATGCATGCATAGTGTTGCCAGATCTACAGAGGGTGGTGGGAGGGTGTACTGTTACGTGCTGTCATTGCCTGCCGTCCCAATGCGACGGACGTGCGTTAGCCGTGCATTGGCAGGAGGTACTTTGTAGCCACAAACTGCGAGACAATGGTCACGATGGCAGCAATGAAGTGTGAAAGTAGGGGGCGAGGCCAGGTACAAACGTAAGGTAGCCGCGGTCCAGCAGGCAATAGTTATAGACCCGAGTCTGGCCAGGTGCTTCATTTCTCCGAGATTCCTCTTCATCTCCGCAATTACTCTCACATGACAGTCCAGTAGGCAGCTCCATCGTGTCTCCAGGGCTTCGTCGCTTCTTCTAAGGCGCGGCAGACCCTGCAGAACCACGCAGGTGCCCCGCAGTATTGTGCCCGATATCTACAAACTCGCGCACTCTTTCGGAATCCACCCCGGAACTGCTCGAACCTATGCATCTTCTCATCCCGCTGCTGGGTACTTAACAGCTAATTAACCGCCAATCACGACGGCCTGGATCCACCATCTCTCTTCCTTTCTCTCGTCGCCTCGAGAGATGCAGGCTGTTTAGGGAGACTGCTGCGCGTCTTTTGCCTGCACTGTCACGGCCCGGTGGGCCAGCGCTCTAGCCTTGTTCTGCACTCACGAGACCCGCTCTCGGGCCTCGCATCGTGAGTCGACGCTCTCCAGCGCTCCACGTACCCTCACATCGTGACCCGCCAACGCACTCCGCGCGCTTCACCGCGCCTTGTCAGGGTTCGTCCAGCCACTTTACGCTACTCTTCCATGGCCACCGTTTATACAACGCGGCAGCGAGCTTCGGGACGGCGCTTGCATCAAGGTTCCGACCAGCTGCAATAAGTCAAGACGCAATCCTTCTAGCGTCACTTGACCTTACAAACTGAACGCCTCCCCCCAAGGCTATCGATTATCGTATCTTCCATTGTCCTTCTATACATCAGCACTCACATCGCCAACCCTCTAACCCCTACGAATACGAGCCTCCCTAGTCGTCACGCTAATCACGCTGATCCTCACATCCAAGTGTAAGCTAATGTTCAGCACTACGCTGAACTTTGTGTTGATCAATTGCAGGCCTCCGACATTCTACATACTACGTCCTACATCAATCTTTTCAGCTCCTGCTCGATACACTTTCCACCTGCAAAGTATATCGGTAGACTTCGGCAGCATATCCACACTTCCAAATGATCCAAGTGTGCCACGCAGCCCCTCCATACAAGACCGTGCATCCGAGGCGACTCGTACTTGCACCGGTCATTCAAAACCAACAAACCATGGATCCTCCCTCAGCACCCAACCCGGCAGGCGATGCAGGAGTACTACCACATTTCAACAGCCTCAGCATTCAGGACGCACCATCACCACCAACCAATGACACCGATCTCGATGTTTTGACCATGTCACGAGAAACCGCCATGAAATTAATCGCCCGCTCGATAATCGCCATAGCCAATGCAGCCGGCGACGTACCAGCAACACCGCCACTCTCACGGCCTGGAACGCCTGGAGGAAGGGAAAACCATCTCATTCGATCACATCGGCGGACAGCATCCAGGCCAGCGACGCCTATACCCGCTGAAAAAGAGAATCATCAACCCACCGAACTAGCTCCACCCGAAGCGGGTCACGATGAGCCCGTCACTATACACGACATTGGCGCCGGAGCGCAGCCCGAGTCCGTGCAACGAGCCAACATGGCTCGAAAGTTTTTCTCCAAGACAGTGCCTAAAGTCGGTGTTGAGGAGTACATGAACCGCATCCAGAGATTTTGCCCCTTATCTACTGCTGTTTGGCTGGCTGCTGGATCGTACATGCTGCGGTTATGCGTTATCGATAGGAGCGTTCCTCTCACATACCGCACAATGCATCGCCTCATCCTGGCGTGCGCTCTCGTCGCAATGAAGGCACTAGAGGATCACCGATGGCCTCAAAAACGATTCGCTGCAGTAGGAGGTGTTGACGAGGCAGCACTTAGCCGATTGGAGCTGTGTGTGGAGTTTTTGCTGTCGTTCGATGTCCAAATCTTCACACCGGAGAAGCTGAAAGATTTGACGCTTCAACTGCAAAAGGCGGGACAGGCAGCGACCATGGCATGCAGATTACCGACGTCATTCAACCTGAAGCTGAATAGCCCAAAGATAAGGAATGCACAGGCTGTTTGAATTGAGCGACACAAAAGGCAAGCGTTTCCTTTTGACTGGATTTTAGGATATACTCATTTAGCATAACAAAGGCGTTTGGGTAGCAAAACACGGACACGATAGCTGGGAAGCTTCTGTACTATAGACACCAATAGGTGTGTACTGGAAGAAAGTCAAAATTTTCGACGTACAAACAAAAGCTGCAGCGAGCCCACTTTTGGCGGTTGATTGTGGAGACCCGATGTTGAGGATTCAGGTACCGGCCCCAAAGTGGGAGATAGACGAGTGGAGCAAATCGGATGCTATCTGTTTACGCTGTTTGAAGTGTCATAGCAACGATATGCACGTTAATACAACAAGTAGTGTGGTCAACCATGGAACTGAAGTGTACATGTTTATTGCCATGGTGTTGAGGCGTCGCAGTAGAGCGATAATCCCTGCCAATCGCAGGTTAGCGTGCGCGGCAAAGACGATCGTCCCCTGGCGTCGCCGCATGTTGCTTGATTGATTCCAGACTGCATCCTCTACTCAACACTAACAACCACCGTGCAATACCCGTCTCCACTGTTGCCTCGTCTCGACGCATCTGTTTGTCGCATTGAATATACGCGTAAAGTGCGTGTATCGCGCCCCTCGTTCCATTACCGGACAGCAGCTACGATCCACCCCTCCACGCTCGCTTTCCTAGCCACACCGCTGCCCGACCGCCACTCGCTACTATCACAATCCCTCACGATGACTCGGATACTACTGCCCCTCGCGCTCCTCGCCGCTCTGTCTCCACTTGTAAACGCCGGCGTCAAGTTCACATCACCGAGCGCGGGTGACAAACTCACGGCTGGCACAGCCGTTACCGTGAAATGGGAAGAGGGCGGCTCTGGACCTGCGCTGACAGATCTGACGACTTATCAGCTGCAGCTGATTGTAGGAGGAAATGAAGGCTCTGAGCAGGTAGGTTACAATACAGGCACTCGTGGAGGCGCATTGAGATGTTCTAACGATGGGAAATAGTTCGTAGTGGGTACCATTACACCCAGCGGTGCATTCACAGCTGGCAACACAGCTTCGGGTAGGATCGAAGTAGGCATGTCTGAGGACTTGAAGACCGCCAATGCCTAGTATGTTCCCACAATCAACCCAGATCAGCAAGATGCTAACTCGACTGTCACAGCTTCATCAAGATGATCGCAGTCGGAAAGACTGGTGGTCAGCTCGTCACCTACTCTGACCGCTTCCAATTCTCTGGCTTCACAGGCAAAAACATCCTCAACCCTACTGTCAAGAAGGCTGCGGAGGACATCTCCACCACCGCTGGACCAGCAACCGAAGACACAACGACCGATGGAACCGACCCCGCTGCAGCGGACCCTGCTGAGGGCGACTACGGTGTGACTTACACAATGCAAACGGGCCCTACGCGTTATGCGCCCATGCAGCCTGTACCGCCTACAAAGATTACCGCCAAGAACACGAAGCCGCTGTATCCTGCCAGCAGCGTCAACATTGCAAAGTCGAAGCTGCCAATACCGACCATCCAGACTACGCTCACGCAGAGTCAAACATTCTCTGTTAAGAGCATGGAGAACACGGTACGTCATTTGTTGTGCGCAGAGATGCGCGACTTGCTTGCTATTTAGAAGATGTACTGATTGTTGTTTAGGTCGCCGCGGCTCCTCACGCTACCGACGATATGGCCAAGTACCTCAGACGCTGGCAGGACTAGTCTTCCTTTTTCGAAAAGCATAATCGATCGACCACTCAACGCAACGGACGAAGATGAACGACCAACCTATACCGACTTCGATAGATGATAAACGTTAGCGCATGGTGTGGCTGTCCATTTATTGTGTGAAAGAGTAAGGGTTGGGGATTTGAAAGCACGAATTGCATTAAACAGCTCGTCGCTCGTATGAACAATGGGTTGTCTTAAGGTATTTTTGGTCTACGCGGAGCGTAAAATAGGTTCGCGCTGAATAATGATGGCATAGCGGACTGGCGTCTGGAGCTCAAGCGTGTTTATTGGCGTTGAACGACTTGTTCTGGGTTGAGAAATTAGACATGATCATGTAGTATTACAAAAATTATCAACCCGACATCCGCTTCACAGGGCGAAGATTTGCGACGTACATCTTTTGACAATCGGAACGAATAGATGCACCTTCCTTTTTAAAACATCGCGACACGTAGACCGCGGCTACCCGTCAGACGCGTGCGAGCTCACCCCACCACCCCACCTTCCCGGCCTGTAGCTATCGTCGCGCCTAACATCAGCAAAGCTCCTCGAAGCTCCCCCATGCGTGCCCTACTACCTCAAATCAGCCGTTCACTTCGACACACTTTACGTGCACGTCAACCGTCACCAACAAGACACTCGGCCATCGCGACACCCTGCTTTTACACCTTATCTGCAGAGAGCGGCAGCTGGACAAACGTGCACAAGATGGCTATTGCCGAAAACTATGAAGACGTGCTGAAGGGCAAGTACCCGGCCAAAGCACATGCGAAGAAGGTCGCAGAGTGGATCATTGAGAAGGGCGGTGACAAGAACGGAACAATTTATCTAGAGGCGCAGAAATTGAAGTTGAACGAGGTAGGTGCCCATAGTAATGCTCGGGTTTACAACAGACACTGATTCATTTGTTTAGGACAACGATGGCGAGGCACCCTTCCGGTAGGTGGTATAGCGACCGAAGAGAAGCACGGAGCTAATTATCTTCATCTAGTCAGCGACGATACTTTTTCTACCTCAGCGGATGTGAACTGCCAGACTCTTATTTGGTATATGAAATCGCCACTGACAAACTCACTCTCTTCATCCCTCCCGTAGAACCCGACGAGGTCATCTGGTCCGGCCTACCTATGAGCCCCGAAGAAGCTAAAGCAAAGTATGACATTGACGAATGTCTAACAACCAAGGACGTCAATTCCCACCTCGCCAGCCAATCCGAATCAGCTCAATCAACCATCTATGCCATTCCAGAACAGGTCTCGGATCATGTCACCTTTATTTCTTATAAAGAAAAGGAGTTCAAGCAACTCAAGACTGCCATTGAATATTGTCGCGTCACCAAGTCAGACTACGAGATCGCGCTTATTCGAAAAGCAAACGTCATCTCAACCGCAGCCCATGAAGCTGTCATGAAGGCTGCGTCGAAAGCGCAGAACGAATGCGAACTCGAAGCTGTGTTCCTCAAGGCATGCGTAGAGCGCAACGCGAAAAACCAAGCCTACCACTCTATTGTTGCGGCCGGTGAACATGCCGCAACATTGCACTACGTCAATAATGCTGCGCCAATCTCGGACCAAAATCTTCTGCTGCTGGATGCAGGATGCGAGGTTGACTGCTACGCCTCCGATATCACACGCACATTCCCTGTAAAGGGTAAATTCACAACTGAGTCCCTTGCTATCTACAAGATTGTGCTGGATATGCAACACCAGTGTATCAACGCACTCAAGGCCGGCGTTGTGTGGGACCATGTCCACGAGCTTGCTCACAAGATTGCTATTAAGGGACTCCTGGATCTGGGCATATTGAAGGGCGACGCAGACGAGCTGTTCAACAAGAGGATTAGTGTAGCTTTCTTCCCTCACGGTCTGGGTCACTACCTCGGGATGGACACTCACGATTCTGGTGGTGACCCCAACTATGCGGACAAGGATGTCATGTTCAGGTATCTGAGGAAGAGGGGCACCCTACCTGAACGTAGCGTCATTACCGTCGAGCCTGGCATCTATTTCTGCAAATTCATCATCGAGCCATATCTCAAGGATGAGGAGAAGAAGAAGTACATCGACGAGAGTGTGCTGGAGAAGTACTGGAGTGTGGGTGGTGTGAGGATTGAGGGTATGTTACCACGACGAGGTGTATTGATGGTATGCTAATGCTTTGCAGATAACGTGCTCGTCACCAAGGATGGACACGAGAACCTGACACCGACGGTGAAGGAGATTGATGATGTCACTCAGTTGATTGTATCTGGACGGTAGAGGCTTACTTTAGATTACTACGATGATGAACCACGCGAAGGAAGCAATTGATACCAAGAAACAATCGCAACATCTCGACAGCTCTGTTTGTCTCTCCTAGCCAGTGATTCACGCTCAAGTAGCCATGCAGTACTGGTATCCAGCCCAGAGATTGGAACAATCATCCTTCAGCTTCGAGTTGAGCTGACGCAACCTGGTGAAAGCAATGGGTGCGGACTCGCAGGTGGCGCCTTCCGCAGGAGTGTAGTATCTGGTACAGCCATCTGCTGCGCCTGTAACTTTGGTGTCGAGGATGCCACTATCGCCGGCTTCATTTGGTGTTGCCTGCTTGTTGTCGGTCTGATGTTGATCCAGGTCAATTTTCTGGTTGCTACTATCGTTGTTCTCGCCGTAGTTTCCCCCGCGACCTTCCGTCATGGTAAGTCCAGCAACAGCATTGTTATTGCAGCTACTCTCTCCAAAAGGCTTGATGAGACGATTCGCGATATCAGATGCGTAGCACGCCGTAGCACTATGGCCCAGATTTGGATTTGTGACTTGAGAGCCGGAGTTGTAGCGACGCGCCGCTTTGTAGTACTTGCTGTCGTCCGTGGTGGTACTGAAAGCACTAAGCGACTCTTTCAGACTCGTCCTCAATCCCTCTCCTGCAGTACCTTCGTGGATCATGGCGCGGATGTCTTTGGCGGGGCATGGCGAGATGGGACTCTGACCGAGGGGATGACAAGTTGTAGTACCCGCGCCTTGCATAAGACCTGGATTATGTGCGTCGGACTTGGAGGTCAGGGCGCGCACACAGCCCTTGGACTCTTGCATCATTATGGCGAGGATGAACTCCTTCGGGACGCCGGAAACCTCTGACTCTGACTGTATGCTTTCCTTGATGGCCTGTGTTTCCGCGTCGTTGTTGTTGTCGCCCCAGCCGTTGTGCTTGCAGGAACCTTTGATGAAGTCTTGATTGGCATTCCTACTACAGTAAGTCTGTGATACGTCGTCCCTTTGATGAGGACATACCAAGCATCGTCAAACGACATCCACTCAGTCTGCTTTGGCCATCCAGCGCTCATCGACCCGTCGCCGCCAAATGTGATGTAATCAGCTCGTGGGGCTAGAGCAGTAGATTTTACGACATGGAAGTGATGAGGGGATGCATAGCCAAGAGCGATGAAGCTGCTCGCAGCGATGATAGGAGTTGCCAACATAGCTGCTAAAGTTGAGAAGTTGTCGATTTAACGCGGTTGCTGAGAAACTGGCCTTGAGCAAAAGAGAGTGAGAACTTGAAAGGCGTGTAGAGTCTGGAGAGGACAAGAGAAGTAAGAGGAGAAGGTGATTAAGCAAAGTGAGAGGCTGTCGCAGAAGTGGCACAGTGTAAGAACGAAAGTCGAAACGAACGCCGCAAAAGTGCCCACTATTACAATAGAGTCGAAAGACTCTTTTCTCTGATTCATTTGCGTTCACTGGGGGTTTTTATGGAAACTTTAGCTTTGCGAGGTGAAGGCCGCAAACACTGCCCGGACATCCCTGTTCGTGATACCCGCACGCGTTCCTGGAGGTTTCCAAATGGAGCGATAATACGCAACAATGCTACTTGAAGTACTCAACCCTTGGCACGTGAATCAAGTTTGGAGATACCGGATGAGGTGTTCTTTTCCTAGATGCTATCCTATGGCTGGGCGCATCATGGATAGCTGCAGAACGTGGTGACACGAATCACATTCCTCATTCCGGAGTATACGCAGGGCGAGATGTTTTCCCGAGATCAGGCTCGTTACGACTTCATGAAAAGGACCTGGGGATGTACTCTTCATATTCAGTGAAAGGGCGCAACTCTGGCCGAACTCCAAGAGTAGGAATTCAGGGAAATATGGAGGAGATGGTTCGGCGATGCATTGGACTACAGGTTGATACCTTGAGATTCTGCGTACACTGAACAGCAAGCATTGCTTCAAGGGAGAAGAACTGATGATTTGAAAATATATCAAGACCTGTAAGATGGGGTTTCTTGTATCCAGGCCTGCTAATCCTTTTTGAGTTCGCCAGAACCCGACCGTTCAGCCGCAAAGTCCCGCAGACTTTTCCCTTTTCATTTTGAACATCCCCACCTCTACCGCGTACTCATTTATGTTCAGCCAACCATCTGCCGCCGCATTTTCGCCCTTCGACCCCTCATTTTGTACACTTTTGTCCCATCTTTATAAAACCACTCTGGCAGAACTTGCCATCTCAACACAAGCACGGTTTCGTCACGAAACATTCTCCCCGTAGCTCAGTTGGTTTAGAGCGTCTGACTGTAATATCTGCTGTTATCAGAAGGTCCCTTGTTCGACTCATGGTGGGGAGACAACTTTGTCTTTTTTCTTTTTTCGCTATGCGTATTGCATGGTGGGATTGAGTTTTTGCTGGTGTTGAAGAATTGGGTTGTGTTTTAGATGATGTCATGTGACTAGCTTTTGGTGTTCCTCGGAACGGTCTCAATCGTTCCGATGAACGAAACCCTCATTTTCGTATATGTTCTCGAAAGAGCTTCTTACAAACTCATCGCAACATACCATTCACGCCTATCGCGTCGCTATCTTTCGTCAGTTGTATCTAGCTGTGGCTCAGTAGTTTAGACCGGGTAGCGCATATGATAAAGAAATGCGCCGAGAAAGAGACGTTCGTGGACATGAATTAACCAGCCACCAGTGAACAACCTCATTGGCGGCTTTTATTACGGGCAAACACGATCCCTTTAATCTACAGATAGCTAGTCAGAAGATCAAAGCCAAGCCCAGCAAGCGGAATTGACAGCTATTTTCTAGAAGACCTTTGTGGAGCGACGTTCCAAGTCATGCGTTCAAGGACTCAAGACACGCTAATGTTTCGAAACAAATGAACTGACATATCGCGCATGGAGACGCGGCTCCGAACTTTCCGGGTTAGGGTGGATATGGTTGGAAATTGAGATTGAGGATTGTTGTAGAGAGGGTCAAGTGTTTCGATATATAACGTCTCTTCTTCATCATGTAATCTAGGCATACACGGGCAAGCTCTTCAAACCGGCGATATCATGTTCACTTCAACATATGCCCTGGCGGCACTCTTTACTTTCACCGCAGCTCAATCAGTGACCTACCAGGCTGAGGACGCAATACTTTCTGGAACAACCGTAGCTACCTCAGTAGCAGGTTATACAGGTAAACATTCCTCGAGTACTCTCTGATATCCCATTGTAGACTTCTAACACTGTGTAGGCTCCGGATATGTAGACGGTTTCTCCGACGCAACCGACAAGGTCACGTTTCAAATCCCCTCCAATACTACCGGCCTGTATGATCTCAGTCTCATCTACAACGGTCCCAACGGCGACAAGCAAACCTACATTGTACTCAACGGCGGTTCCGGATCGCAAGTCAGTCTACCAGCTACCACAAAATGGACAACCGTATCAGCGGGACAAGTATTATTTGAAGAGAACGCCAACAATACGATCGAAATTCAGAGTAACTGGGGTTACTATCTGATTGATGCCATCACGCTCTCTCCATCTGCAGAGCGAGGCCCACACAACATAACAGCTGTTCCAGTCAACGCAAATGCAAACGCCGACGCAAAAGCTCTGATGAGCTACCTAGGTGGTATCTACGGCAAGAACATCCTCTCGGGCCAGTACGACCAAGCTTCTCTAGAATGGGTGACAGCCAACGTCGGCAAGACTCCCGCCATCCTCGGCGTAGATATGATGGACTACACCGAAGGTCGCATCGCCAAGGGTGCCTCCTCCAACGATACCACCAATGCTCTTGCATTCGCAGAGAAAGGTGGCATGGTAACCGTCGTCTGGCACTGGAACGCTCCAGCTGGCCTCTACGATACTGAGGCTCAACCCTGGTACCGTGGCTTCTACACCGAAGCTACCGACTTCAACATTGCGGACGCACTCGTCGACACTACCAACGCAAACTACACTGCGCTCATCAAGGACATTGACACCATCGCAGTTCAGCTGAAGAAGCTCCAGGATGCCGGCGTACCCGTCCTCTGGCGCCCGTTGCACGAGGCTGAAGGCAAGTGGTTCTGGTGGGGTGCCCAAGGTCCCGAAGCATGCAAGAAACTTTACCACATCCTCTACGAGCGTCTCACTGTTCACCACTCTCTCAACAACTTGGTCTGGGTGTGGAACTCGGTGGATCCGGCATGGTACCCCGGATCCGATGTTGTGGATATCGTCTCTGCGGATACATATGCCAAGGGTGACCATGGTCCGATTTCTGCCACATACAACGATCTTATCAAGCTTACGGACGATACCAAGATGATTGCTGCGGCGGAAATTGGCAGTCTGATGGAACCGGAACAGTTGAAGGCCTATCAGGCTGACTGGGTCTTCTTTGCTGTATGGAGTGGCGAGTATGTTACTGGCGGCGAATGGAACAGCTTGGATATGATGAAGAGAATTTACAGCGACGAGTACGTCTTGACGCTGTATGAGATCCAAGGCTGGAAGAATGGGAATACAACAGCTTGAAACGGCTAAGATTTGATGAGGTGGTGTCGTTTATCTTCCATGTAAATATTCGGAAAGAAGACCTTTGAACGTAATAGAATATCCTCCAGTTGAGCGATCGTACATAACAATCCTATATAAATTTCGATAAACTTCCAGCCTATGATCGCTTAATGACATTCTCGGCGACTTAGCAGTAGGATAGCGACTTATGTGCAGAAGGGCATGATTGTGGTAAGTTAAAGTATATGGCCTGTCACACAAGCATATGAGGAAGAGAGAACAATGAGAAGATGTATAGAGAAATGAAGTTACTGAGAGGGTATATTCATTATCATGTCTCGTTGTCATTATACAGGACATTGATCCCAGTCAATGCCGTAAAAGGGTCGCCACATTGAGCCATCGCCCAGGGCGCTTTTGATCTTCCTCGCTGAAAATTACCATGCTAAGTTCAATATGCCTGACCACTTAGCCTTCGTCAAGCCGCACCGACTACTACTCAGAGTTTACCGGCGGATATTCAGCTACCCCCCTGGACCTTCTTGACGATGGCGACAAGACGGTCAAAGAGGGGCTGTCCCTTCTCAATGCCGTTGACCTTGGTGACAACCTCCTCAGCGGAGTTCTCCTTAAGGATCTTGGCAAGTTCGACAGATTCCTCATCACCCTCAACGTTCTGGAAGCGGTAGGCCTGCTCGACGGCGCCGAGGAGGGCATCAACCTTCTCACCCCTCTCAGCCAGCTGAGCGGCGGGACCAATGAAGCGCTCCTTGCGAGAGAGTTTCCGGAGGGGAGCGCGACCGACACGCTCGACATTGTCCTTGAGGACAGGGTTGGAAATACGCTTGATAATTTCCTCAACGTATGCATCTTGCTCAGCTGTCTCAACGCCGTGCTTGGTGACGATCAGATGGGCAGTCTCCTTGACAGCGTCACGGACGGTGTCGTGGAGCTTCTTGTCATGAAGAACCTCGTGGATGTATTGGACCTTGTTCTGGTGTCCGTAGTAGGCGGCAGTAGCGTGAGAGGTGTTGACAGTGAAGAGCTTGCGCTCGATGTAGGGCTCGAGGTCGTCGACGTAGTGGATGCCCTTAACATCCGGCTTCTTGCCGCCGTTCTCGAAAGGCTTCTGCTCGACACACCACTCGTGGAACTTCTCGATGACAACATCTAGGCCGCCGTTGGGGGGCTGCTGTGGGACAATGCGGTCGATAGCAGAGTTGGCAAAGCGAGCCTTGCTGTCGATGTTCTTCTTGGTCTCTTCGCTCAGCTTGCTCTCAATGAATCCTCTCCATGTGGTTGTGGCATTGATGGCGTTCTCACAGGCGATGACGGCGATGGGGTAGTCGAGCGTGCGGGCCTCGATAGCCTTGGCGACGGGCTCAGCGACGAACTTGAGGATGTTGGGGCCGACAGCGCAGGTGACGACGTCAGCGCTAGCAATCTCCTCAACGACCTTGTCCATCTCGTTCTTGGAGTTGATAGCACGGTAGTGGTCGATGGTGAACTTGCGCTCGCCGTCGTCACCAATTTCGGTGACGGTGTATGTCTTGGTCTTCTGGAGGGACTCGATGATGCTGTCCATGACGTCGACGAAGACGACCTCGTAGCCAGAGTTGTGAAGGAACTCGGCGACGAAGCCACGGCCGATGTTACCACCGCCAAAGTGTACTGCCTTCTTCTCGTAGGACATGATGTGTGGTTGGTGGGGGT